TAGTATATTAAGGCATAAAAACATCAAGAAATGTCATAATATGGTAAGGTATAAGCATGTCATAGTATATTAATGCCTATAGCGTCAGAAAAATGACATAGTATAGCATGGCAAAAAAAGTGAAAGAACGACAGTATGGCAAAATAATGAAAAAATGGCTTAGTTTATTAAGGCATAAAAACATAGAAAAACGTAATAATATACTAAGATATAAAAATGTCATTGTATATAAAAGCCTAAAAATAGTAAGGAAAAAAAGTGAAAGTACGACAGTACAGCAAAAAAATGAAAAAATGGCAAGGTACATTGAGGCATAAAAAGAACGTCATAATATACCAAGGCATAAAGATGTTTTTGTATATTAAAGCTTAAAAAGTGAGAAAAACGACACAGAATGGTATGGCAAAAAAAGGGAAAAAACGACCTAGTATAGTATGGCAAAAAAATGAAAAAATAGCATAGTATATTAAGGCATAAAAACATCAAGAAACGTCATAATATGGTAGGGTATACAGATGTCATAGTATAATAAAGCCTATAAAGTGAGAAAAACGACAGTATAGTATGGCAAAAAAAATGAAAAAATGGCATAGTATATTAAGGCATAAAAAGATCAAAGAATGTCATAATATACTATGGTATAAAGATGTCATTGTATATTAAAGCCTAAAAAGTGAGAAAAACGACAAAGTATGGTATGGCAAAAAAAGTGAAAAAACGACATAGTATAGTAAGGCTAAAAAAGACATTAAAAACATCATAGTATAGTAAGGCATAAAAAGTCATAAAAACGTCATATTATAGTAAGGCATAAACTGTCATAGCTGACATAAAACTCCACAGTATAGTAAGGCATAAAAAGTCTTAAAAACTCCATAGTATAGTAAGGCATAAAAAGTCTTAAAAACATCATAGTATATTAAGGCAGAAAAAGTCATAAAAACTTCATATTATAGTAAGGCATAAATGTCATAGCTGGCATAAAACATCATAGTATAGTAAGGCATAAAACATCCCAAAAAGTTCATAGTATAGTAAGGCATAAAAAGTCATTAAAACGTCATAGTATAGTAAGGCATAAAAAGTCAAAAAAACGTCATAGTATAGTAAGGCATAAAATGTCATAGTATAGTAAGTCATAAAAATTCATAAAAACATCATTGTATAGTAAGGCATTAAATGTCATCAACCATTATAGTATTGTAAGGCTTAAAACGTCCTAAAAATATCAAATTATAGCAAGGCACAAAACATCATAGTATAGTGAGGCATAAAAAGTCGAAAAAATGTGGTATATTAAGGCATAAAAGTCATAAAAACGTCATTATAGAGTAAGGCATAAAAGGCATAAAACAGCATCGTAGAGTAAGGCATAAAAAGTCATTAAAACGTCATAGTATCATACAGTATAAAAATTCATAGTATAGTAAGGCATAAAGTCACAAAAACGACGTAGTATAATAAGACATAAAAAATGTCATAGTATAGTATGACATAAGAAAGTCATTGTATATTAAGGCATAAAAACCTTATAGTATAGTAAGGCATAAAAAGAGTCATAGTATAGTCATTAGATTTGCCAATTAACCTAATGCGCATATCTCTGGACAGTGGGAGGAAGCCAGAGAACCTGGAGAGCACCAACGCAGGCACACAGAGAACATTCTATCTACACTAAACATCCGGGGTCTGAATCCAGAACCTTGTCACTGTGAGGTGCCAGTTCTAACCATTGTACCATCGAGTTGCCCCACAAATAAATCATCGTATAAGGTATAAAAATATCATAGTATGGGAAGGCATAAAAACTGGAGTGCTATCTTTTCCTTAATGTATTGTAAATCAAACATATTACAGTATTTACTTATTTTTTCTAAAGGTTCACACAGGTTAAGGGTCGTCAGGAGAGTATTATTTCTGGCATTAGCCTAATGCTGCTACTGTCAAAAGGACATCCTAAACAGATCTGAATAAGGCTTTATTAACCAGGTGAATCAGACAATGAAACAGACACACAGGTGTTACAGTTAGAGTCATGTTTATTTACAGCAGAATCCTGAACAAGGAGGGAAAGAAGGGGCGAGGGCAGAGGGAGGGGTTAAAAGGAGACAAAGTGTTTTAGATCAAGCACTTCAGGATTCATGTTTCACTACACAGTTCTTAATTTATTTTATTCACCATTTTTCTATACAGAATCCATTCAGCCGTAATATCAATGCACCAACAGAGCTGGAGTCCTCTGCTGGAGGGGAGAAAAGGTGGAAAGTCAAATAAAAAAAAACTAAAGCACTAAAGAAAAAAATCTTACAAACAACGGGGTAAAAAGAAAAATCAATTCTCTATAAAAAAAGAAACTTTTTTTTTGTCATCACCATGATCGTCATCAGTCATTTATATATGTATATATACACACACATATATATGTATATATATATATATATCTATATATACATATATATATGTATATAAATCTATATATTTTCTTTCCATGTCCATGAAGAGGTGATGGGGGTTTGTGGTTCCATAATGTCCAGGCAGACAACTGCATTGAGCGGCAGGCCGGACGCCCGACCTGACAGCATTCAGGTCATAATATTCAGTCTCTGTGAATCAGCTGGAGGAGGTCAGAGCTGACCAATTGCAGTCTTTCTGACTTGCAGCCTTTGTCCCACCCACTGATGCAAGCCCATAGGTCCAGTGCCTCGTTGTCGGCCAGCAGACTCAAAACTGCAGTAGCCCTCTTAATGCAGTCTTGAGAAATGATACACTGTACACTTCACATGCACGGCCAGATAGCATAAAAAAGTAAAAAAACAAAAAGCCAGCAAACTGCGTTGTCCGTACATGTCTGCCGTGCGCTCACTCGCACTTTTTCCAGTATACATTAGATATTAACTGACAAGCACCACAAAACAGTGGAAGGACAAAAAAAAAAAAAAAAAAAGATCTAAGACTGTTGGGTACCAGATGGTGAAAGCAAAAACATCCTAAGGGTTAGCTTTAATTTCTAATTTTCATTTTTGTTTTCTGAAGGGCACAACTGATTTTCTCTCCTCCCTAGGTCGACTTAATGATGTTATTTGATCAGGCCCACACACATACACACACATATATGCACACACACGGAGACACTTAACTGTCCACGCAGAGAACCCTTTATCTGTAACTGCACATGTATCCAACCACAGTGCGTCTTCATATCCCACTGACCTTCATCTCCAGGCTTCTAGTCCAAACTTTCACAATAGTCAGGTCTTCATCGACAGAGGTGAAACACGGACATTTACAAAGTTCAGATGAAATGTGCTTGTCTTTTGTCAAAGTATATAGAAACTGATTTGATATAATCGTGCTCAGACAGAGACTTGAGAAAGCTGACATAAGATGCTTTTAGTGTTATCATGGCCGTAAAGATGTGTAAATTCAGGATGTGCACAACAGAAATTCAGTACAAAACCCAGCTTGATGTATGTTGAGGTTTCATGATGAAAATATAGCATACTTTAAAATTAATTCAACATTCATTTATTTGAAAAAACAAAACACTGTTTACATTTCCACCTGTCCGCAGAAAGACTGATAAAAAAAAAGAAAGAAAATTGACCCCTGTTGAGCATAAATTTTCAGTGAATTTTACAAGATGAAACACAAACTGTTTCCATTAGACACGTCATGTGTTTGTGACAGTTCGATCCAACACACCCAGCTCACTGGAAACCTGACTATTGTCACTGTTTAACAAGTTCATGATTTCAAATTAAAACCAAGTAAAACAAACATTCACTCATCTGTTTTTCACACACACACACACACACACACACACACACACACACACACACACACACACACACACACACACACACACACACACACACACACACACACACACTTACACAC